CTTCCTGAACCTCAGTTTCCTCATCTGTGCAATGGAGATGACTACAGCATCTCTGGTATAGGGCTTCAGTGAGGATTCACTGAGAGAAAGGAGGCAGAGTGTCTGGATCGGGGTAAGCCCCGATGAAGGTCACCTGGCATTCTGAGTTGCAGCAGACAGTGATGCTTCTCCCAGGAGACCACAGCTCGGCCAGCCAGGAAGCAGGTTTCCTCTGCCCTCCACATCACTGTCTGGCCCACAGGTCCTGGCACAGCCCTGGAGACTCAGAGTGGCAGAAGATTTGCCCAGTGAGCCAGTTCTTCTCCTCCCTGAGAGTAGGCAAGTGAGCCAGAAGCCGTTCATTGGTCCTGTTGGAAGATTCCTATTCAGTTGGCTTGGTTTGCCCGACTAGAAGACAGGGCTTGGGGACGGACCACTAGTCTGGGGTGGGGCTGCAGCAGGGAGCGCCCGAGACAATGAGCCATGATTCTGGGCTCCGAGCCCTGGCCTGCCATTCAGCAGCCACATGCCCCAGGCGAGTAAAATCCCACTGGAGTCTGAGTTTCTCTGTGCAATAAGAACAGCTCTGGGCCATTCCTGTAACTCCAGGGTTCTAGGAGGCCAAGGGAAGTAGCAGGTGTGTCCTGTTTGAAAGCAGAAGCTGGCAGGTGGGGCCAGGTGAAGGGGCGGCAGGGATGTTCTCCAGGCTGACTGGATGCCCCAGGCCTTGGAAGCCATCACCGTGCCACTCTCTACCCATCACACTTGCATTCACACTGTCACACACAACACACTCACTCCCAATGAGAGCTTGGAGATAAGAAATGGCCTTTTCCATGCTTCTTGTTAGAAAGAGATGAAATATTTATATAAACAGGAACTTAAGCTTTCTGGTTTGCTACCTTTTGTTCCTGTCTTCCTGTAGGCCACCTTCTCCTCAGGGCCACAGAGGGCTCTGGCCTCTGGGACTTTGCTCAGGCAGTTCCCTCCCCCTGGAACAACAGCTTCAAGGTACCCTTCCACTTGTAGAAATCCAGAATCCTCTAATTCCCCAGAGGAGGTGCTCTCTCTAACCATGACACTGGAGCGAGACCTCTCCTGGGCGATGTAACATTCTGGTTTCTGTTTATAGAAATAGTTCATTTCTTTCTAACAACAAGCATGGGAAGGACCATTGCAGTCTCCAAGGTGTCGCTGGGAAGGAGCGTGTTGTGTGTGACTATGTGATGGCAATTATGATGGACAGAGAGCAGAACCGTGGTTAAAGCCTGGATCTTAATGTCCACTGAGCCCCTGGGGAGAACAAATGGTTAAGCACTCAACTACTAGCCAAGAGGTTGCTGGTTTGAACCCACCCAGAGCTGCCTTGGAAGACAGGTCTGGTGAAGACAGCTCTGTAGCCTTCAGGACCCTGGGCAGAAGTTTTGCTCACACACACGGAGCTTCTATGCATAGGAACTGACTCCACAGCAACTCACAACAACAATAGACATGGATTCCAATGCTGACTGCTGTCTTCATTCATTCATTCTATACAATCTATCGATGTCTTCCCAGAGTGACCTTGAGCAAACGCTTGACTTTGCTGGGTCTCAGTGTCTTTACCTATCCAGGTAGAATAATGACAGCTACTCTGGAGCTTCTGGTTGGCTTGCAATGACATGGGCCTCCGCCTGCCCCTGTGTAGACTATTTAAAACCGTCTACCAGTAGGCGACTCAGCCCTGATTTTGAGGACTCCCTCAGGGCCCAGTTACGGCATTTAGTGACTCATGTTAACGCTGTCATGAACATTCCATCACTACCGACTTCTCCAGATCCAAGGAGCATGACGTGCAAATTTAGCCGCAGCGAGGTCCCTTGATGGGTGCACTCCAAGCCCCACCTCATCTTCCCTGATCAAGGCAGCCAATTCTTGAGTCATTTCACAGAGGGGCAGAGGGGACCCTTTGTCAAGGCTTGGACAGAGAAGATATGCTTTCCCTTCCTTGGTGACTGATTGCACTGCTGGGGTTGGAGGCCTTATTGTATATGCTTAGTCTAGGCAGGTGCAAGGTCCCTTCTATTGCACTGAGGCCAGGGGGGCTGGGGACCTGGTCACTATGAGAATCAGCCCTGCCACAGCCCCACACAGATAATCAAACCAAACTCACTGCCATCGAGTTGATTCCGACTCACAGTGACCCCCGTTGGGTTTCCAAGGCTGTAAATCTTTACGGAAGCAGACTGCCCCATCTCTCTTCTGCAGAGTAGGTTTGAATCAGTTAGCAGCCAAATTCCTTAACCAGTACCCCCTCAGAGATCCTTTTCAGCCCCACTAGGAGCTGAAAATGCTGTTCAAAACCAGAAGAAAGCAAGCCTCTGTTCTTTAGGAAGTAGAGCTCAAATATTCTGAGCAGCGTCTAACATTTTAATCTTCCCGTGTTGCCTTTCAGTCTTCAGAAGCAGATGATCTTCTGAGGGAGGGGGTGTTTCTGAGTTTATTACTGCTGACCCTAGTCATCTGGTCACCAACACAATACTTTAAAATTGTTGTTGTTGTTGTTGTTATATGCCGTCGAGTAGTAGTCCTTATTATCCTTTCCAGCAGTTTTAGGTTTACAGAAACATTGCACAGAAAGTGGAATTCCTATCAGTGGGGTAGAACCAACAGATTTCTTGGGGGAAAATGTCCTTGTTTTGACTACTTTGGCCTAATGGTCTGAGGCCTAGTAATGTCCAGTCAACACTGGTCTGTACCAAGAAGCTCCAGGATGAGGTTATCCATGCTCAGTACAGGGACCCCAGATTGCTAACACAGCCCAGGTGGTCACTAAGGGAGGAGGTACCTTCTGAAGGTGAGGGGGCTACTGTGGTTCTGAATGTTAAGACACGTCAGCCCACCCACACACCTTCTCAGCCAAAGGACAGAGGGTCTTCACCAAAGAATGGAGGGTCTTTATCAAAAGACCAAGGGTCTTCAGCACAGAACAGTGGGTCTTAACCCAAGAGCAGATGGTCTTCATCAAACCAAAAACCAAACTCACTGTCGTTGAGTTAGATTTGACTCCTAGCAACCCTTCCTTGGGTTTCTGAGGTGGTATCTCTACGGAAGTAGATTGCCTAGTCCTCAGTCCTCCTTCTGTGGAGTGGCTTGTGGGTTTGAACCCCCAACTTTCTGGTTAGCAGTCAATGCCTTAGGCACTATGCCATGAGAGCTCCTGCCTTCATCAAAGGACCCAAACCAGAACCAAACAAAAGCCCTTGATGTTGAGTTGATTCTGACTCATAGTGACCCTATAGGACAGAGCAGAACTGCTCCACAGGGTTTCCAATGTAATCTTTATGGAAGCAGACTGCTGCATCCTTCTCCCTTGGAAAGGCTGGTGGGTTCAAACCACCAACCTTTTGGTCAGCAGCCGAGTGTTTCACCACTGCACCACCCAGGTGCTTTCATCAAAGGACAGAGGGTCCTATCAGAGGACAAAAAGGTCTTCATTCAAAGACAGAGTCTTCACACAAGGACAAAGCGTCTTCATCAAAGAACAGAGGGTCTTAATGCAAGAATGGAAGGATCTTCATCCAAGGGCAGAAGAGCCACAGGCCCTGCACACAGACCCAAGGGGAAGCCACGACCCCCAGGCCCAGGATCCCTGGGACCAGGATCAACCCACACTAGCCACAGTCTTCTCCATTTCCTGAACAATTCAGCATCTGTGTCGTCCAGGTTCCTGGTAAATGAGAACTAGCTGTCTCACCAGCCCCAGGACAGTTGGTGGCAAACTTAGGGGTTGATAGCAGGCAGGCAGCCTGCCAGCCCTGAGACTCAGAGCTGGGGATGCTGAACCCAGCCAAGGGTGCTGTAGGGCTGGCTGTGGCTGGGCAGGGCTGCCCAGCTGGAAGAGCTGGGGTCAGATAAAGCTCATCTGGCTGGGGGACTACACAGGGGGTGTTACAGGGACCTCAGTGTCTCTCCACAGGCTTGAGATGCTGAGCTGAAGAAGGTTGGGGAGAGCACCACTTGTCTGCACCAGCTGCCCTGGGGAGAGGCTGGGGTGGTCTAGGTTTCCTCCTCTCTCAGCAAAAGGAACCCACCCCACTAGTTCTCCCAGTCAGCCCATGGGAAGGAACATCAGCCCCGGAAGCCCATCCCAGACGAAGCAGGACTCCCTATGTCGAGGTCTGGCCAGGCTGGCTCTTGGGCTAGGGCAGGAGGGACTGGGATTGAAGGTGCTGACATCCCTCCAACCCCCTTTCCTGGGAGACTCCCTTGACTCAGCGTGTCTTTGACACAGAGATGGGGTGGGGGCAATCACCACTGCCCTGTCGCATCCTGGGCTGGTTTCTTCTGTGTGTGTGTGTGTGCGTTTGTACACACGCACGCGCGCACACGCACACACACACTCACACACATGCCTATCAGTGAGGATTTCTGTGATAAAAGCAGCCAGATTCCAGAGAGTGAAGAGAAGACGGAAGAACAAGAGAGGGGAGGAGAAAATTGGGGGTGGGAGAGAGACAGACGGAGAGCGCAGCAGTGGGAGAGAGAGAAAGGAAGCACGGCGGAGAGCAGAGAGAGTGTGTAGGAGAGAGAGAGGTGGAGGGGCCAGCAGAACGGGAGGGCAAGCGAGCCAGCAGAGAGGCAGGAGAGAGAAGGCTGAGCAGGAGCGAGCAGACAGCTCGGAGCGATGGGGTGAGGGGCGGCCGCGAGGCCGCGCGCCCTGGGGCGGCTGCATAAAGGATCCCAGGGCGTCCAGGTGCCCAGTGGAACGACGCGCCAGGCACTCGCCCAGGAGGTGGCGCGGAGCTCCGGGGTGGCCACACGCCCAGACGTCTTCTCGAGAAGTGCGCGGGTTCCGGGGTGGCCACGAGCCCAGGCGTCTTCTGTGCAGGTGGCGAGGGGCTTCGGGGTGGCTGCGCGCCCAAGCGCCTTCTTGGGAGGTGGCGCGGGTTCGAGGTGGCCGCGAGGTATCCTGGAGCCATGGCGGCGAGGGCCGGGGGCGCGGGGCGGCGGTGCCCCGAGGCTGAGCCGGCGGCGGGCCGCGCCCTGGTGTCGCCAGGTGACGGGCCCTGAACGCCCGCGGGGGCGCGACGGCGGGCGCGCACCATGAACTCGTGGGACGCGGGGCTGGCGGGGCTGCTGGTGGGCACGATGGCCGTGTCGCTGCTGTCCAACGCGCTGGTGCTGCTCTGCCTGCTGCACAGCGCCGGCATCCGCCGCCAGGCGCCGGCGCTCTTCACTCTCAACCTCACGTGCGGCAACCTGCTGTGCACCGTGGTCAACATGCCGCTCACGCTGGCCGGCGTGGTGGCGCAGCGGCAGCCGGCCGGCGACCGCCTGTGCCGCCTGGCCGCCTTCCTCGACACCTTCCTGGCCACCAACTCCATGCTTAGCATGGCGGCGCTCAGCATCGACCGCTGGGTGGCCGTGGTCTTCCCGCTGAGCTACCGCGCCAAGATGCGCCTCCGGGACGCCGCGCTCATGGTGGCCTACACCTGGCTGCACGCTCTGGCCTTCCCGACCGCCGCGCTCGCCCTGTCCTGGCTGGGCTTCCACCAGCTCTACGCGTCCTGCACGCTGTGCAGCCGGCGGCCGGAGGAGCGCCTGCGCTTCGCCGTCTTCACCGGCGCCTTCCACGCGCTCAGCTTCCTGCTCTCCTTCATTGTGCTCTGCTGCACGTACCTCAAGGTGCTCAAGGTGGCCCGCTTCCACTGCAAGCGCATCGACGTGATCACCATGCAGACGCTGGTGCTGCTCGTGGACATCCACCCCAGGTGAGGGACTGGGCGGGGTGCGGCTTTGGGAAGGGCTGAGGGTGAGAGCTGGGGGCACCCAAGTTCCCTCAGCTCCAGTGTGTGGTCTTGGACAAGCCCCTTAGCCCCACTACACCTCATGTCCATCTCCCAAACCTGAAGGAGGACAGAGGGGAGGTGCTGCCTGGCCTAAGCTGGGTGCCCAGAGCATCAGCCAAGCAGGGACGCAAGATGTGGGTGAGGCTGCGTGCTTGGATTTCCAGAGGTCAAAATCAGGGACTCCGAACTTTGCTGGACTTCCTTGTGCTTATGTTTGGGTAGTCGTCCCCTTCAATGGCCAGTGGCAGGGCAGTCGTCTTTTTTCTCTGCTAGAGGCCTTGAGAAGGTTTTAGCATGGCCCTGCCAGGGTGGACCAGAGGCTGAGTTAGCTCCCAGAGACTGACATGGTGCTACTTTGGGGCTCCTCTCTGTGTGTCCCCGTTTTCTCTGTGTGTATTCATGGGTGTGAGTCCCCCCAGATGGGCTCCACTGTGGTCTGTGCCCTCCTCTGTGGTCTTCACGGGAGTGTCTGGTGGACTGTAGGGAGGGACGGTCCCCTGCCTGCCCCACGGGCTGCTGTCCAGTGTCTCCCAGGCTGGCAGCAGGAAAGTCCCTACAGAAGGAGCTCCTGGGACTCTCACTGCCCAACTGCCATCCCTGCACTCTGGCCTCTGTTTCTCAGGCGGCCAGTCAAGGTGGCAGCCCCAGTGCAGGCAGCCCGGGAGCCACTGTCTTGCCCAAGGCCATCTGGGGAACGAAGGAGGGAACTTAGCCGAGTGTCTTCAGCTCACCTCGGGTTTCCCGGTGAGAACAGGAAAGTGAAGAGGGAAGTGGCTGGCAGTGTCCCTGTGGACCCTGCACTGTCTCTTGTCCCATTGTACCAGGGAGAGACAGGCCCCCTGCCACACCTGAGAGCACAGGTCAGGGTACTTGGCTTCTGGAAGGCACGGAAGGAGGCAGGCAGAGAGTTCTGAGTAGGGGGAGGGGAAGCCCGGGGAGCTGCGTGGCGGGAGGAGGAGTGATCCCGAGTGTGCGTGTCCCCTCCAGGGAGGAGCAGGCTCCTAATGGAGGTCACAGACTGGACTTGGGAACCCTGGGGTCTGAGAGCAGTAGGAAGAAAAGTCCCTGAGCAGCCCTGCGTCTGTGCATGTAGTGGCACGCACGTGTGTTCACGCTTCTCAGAACGGTCACTCCCTGATGACCTCCTAGACCAAAGCTTCTCGGTACAGGACCTCACATATGAGTGACTGACGGCACCTGGGCACCAGGGCTGTGGGCCGGTGATGCCAGGTGTCCTGTGTGTTCACATGTAAACTGCACAGGTGGGAGACACATCAAGACACACTGCCACCAAGCCCTGGTTGACTGCCATTGCGTGTGTCTCTGCAGGTCAGTGTCATTTAGACAATAGTCTGCAGCCACATGCACAGCTGCTGCCCCTCCCTTCACTTTAGAAGCAGCATCCTTGGAACTTGGCGGGGGGTTGCTCATGGAGAATGGAGGGCAGGCCGTTGCAGTCCTGGAACCTAAGGGACTCCTACTGTGGGTCCTCTCCCCATGAGTCTGTGTGCAGAGGAGGGGCTAGGCTGAGAGAGGAGTTGGTTCTTATTAGGACCAGTGCAGACCTCGTCCCTGCCTTCACCCAGCTCCCAGGCAGTGAGGGTGTAGGGCATGCTCTGCTTCTGTGGATCTCTCTCCAGGCCAGACGCAGCGGAGAATTCTGGGGCTCAGGAGCAGGGGCAGCTGCTCTGCTCATCCCCCTCCGAAGGGAACCCGAACTCTTCTCTGCCTGGGCTGCATCCAGGGCCAGGGAGCAGCATGTGCACACACAGCAGAGAGGAAGGGCTGCTGGGGCAAGGAGCCTGCACCAGCTCAGACAGGCCCCATTGCAGGGCTCCCTGTGGGTACCAGATAGTGGCAGAGGTGTGGGCACTGCCACTTTGGGGTGCACACCTGCCTTTCTTTGTGGGGCCAGTCCTCATGGAATGGGAGGTTGACAGGTGGGTGGTGGACAGATGGGAGGGACCAGCTCCCTGGCATCCAGTCCAAAGCTCCGATCTTGGTGGATCCACGTGTGTCTTCCTGACAGACCAGAAGCCTCAGCGCTAGCTCTGGGGAAGTGTTCCAGTGGCCCCAGGCCTCAGGGCTCCTGGCCCCAGGGTGCTGCGAGCCTGTGGGCCCCTAGGTGGCCAGTTCCCGGGAAACAGAAGCTCACTCTTTTCTCTCATACACAGGGCAGCAGAGTGGAGTCTGCCCCCTGTAGCTCACCAGCCAGCACACTGATGGCCTCCAGGGACATTAAAAAAAAAAAAAGGACCCATTTTGAGTGTCATGGGGCCCAGGGGGGTTTGTCAAGAAGCTCCAGTAGTCACTGTGCCCACCCAGGTGAGAAGCAGGTAGACTCCTCTCTAGCCACCAGAAGATCAAGGACCGCCTTCGCTAACTAATCCGGGATTCAGAGGGCATGCCCCAGGCCCTGAGCAGTCCCTGCTCCTGCCTGTCGGTGCTGGCTCCTTGAGCTGCTGTGTTCTTGCAACAGCTAAGGATTTCTCACTCGTCCCACTGGTCCATCCCCTGCTCCGTTCGCTGTGTTCAGTCTCCCAGACCGCAGCTCCAGGCCCAGTCGATCTCACTCACCATTGTGGCAGGGAGGTGAGGTGGGGGGCTGGGCTCCAAGGGGCTCCCACTCCTCCCAGTGCAGCCTGGGTAATGGCTTAGGAGCAGGGGAGGCACTGACACGGTCTCGGTGTCCGAGCGGCAGGAGCCTCGCTGGGTCTTCCCCTGAGGAGCCTGAGGGCACCTAGGTCCTCCCAGGGTCCACAGTGGCTGCCTGCTGACCCGGAGGTGTCAGGGCTGTGGTGGAGCAGGCTCGAGCACCCATCGAGAGAGCCTTGCCATGCCCTTGATTTTACAGACGAGACTGGGGGACCCAGGGAGAGGGGAACTTGTCTAATTCAGCAGCTCTAGAAAGTGGCTTAAGCCCAGACTCACACCCAGGTCTGCCCCTGAAATTTACAGACGAGGGTAGCAGTGCACATAGAGACCCACAAACCACAAACATAAATATGTCAAAGTTCTGAATCAGGCTGATAAACTGCTGCGTAGAACATGTCCTCTCCTGCCTTGACACATGGCTCTTCGGGACAGTCTACAAGGCTGGGCTCAGGCTACCTTTTCTCCTGCTCCCTGGAGTTCAGCCTTGTCCATGGGGACATGGGGAGAGCTGAGCTGGCCCCAAGCTCCTTGCCCACCGGCCTGACCATCCCACCCTGGCTCTATCCAGGAGATCCCCAGAGATCAAAGAAGGAGTGATGTGACTCCAATTAGCAGCACTGGGCTGGGAGTCAGGTAGATGGGTCCTAGCCCTACCTGCACCCCTCTCCCTGGGTGGGCAAGCCTTTCTATTCTCTGAGCCTTGGTTTCCTCATCTGTAAGCACGGGTGGATGAGTGAGTGGTTGTTAGGTGCTACTGAGTCTGTTCCCACTCACAGCGACCTTAGTACAACACAACAATACGCTGTCTGGTCCTGCACCATCTCACAATCATTGTTACGTGTGAGCCCATTGTCACAGCCACTGGTAATCTCATCGACAGTCTTCCTCTTTTCTACCCTCTTCTTGACCAAGAATGATGTCCTTTTCCAGGGACTGGGCCCTTGTGATAACATGTCCAAAGTATGTGAGACAAAGTATCACCATTCTTGCTTCTAAGGAGCATTGTGGCTATACATCTTCCAAGACAGATTTCTTTGTTCTTTTGGTAGTCCGTGGTACGTTCAGTATTCTTCACCACCACCCTACTTCAAACGCACCAGTTCTTCTGTGGTCTTCCTTGTTCATTGTCCAGCTCACATGGCCCTTTCACGCAGTGAATGTTGAGTGTCTAAGAGCTGTCCTAGAGCAGAGACGTGACCCCAGGCACAGCATCTCTCATACCCTGTCCCCTTCTGTGCGCCACATGCTGTCACAGACCAGGAAGCAGCATCGGCTGGGTGCTCAGGGCCCAGAGAAGCCACAGAGCCCACCCGACCTGAAGCGCGGGCTCTTGACTGCGTCAGCCCCTGCTGCTCCTTTGCAGAGGGGCTCAGCTGCCTCTGTCATCAATGTGTAGGGCAGGAAGACAACGTCAGCAGTGGGTGGGAGCCCTGTGGTCTTGGGGTTCCAGATGGTGCTTGGGGGTTCATGATGGATTGTCTATAATGATTAGCTGCTAGAGGGCTTACTGTGAGTCAGGCACTGTTTCAGATGCTTTGTTAACTCAAAACAACCTCACAAGATAGGAACCCTTATTACTTCATTTATGAGATGAGAAAGCTGATACACAGAGAGCCTGTGTACTTGCCTCAGACCACACAGCAATGAAGGGCTGGTGCCTGCATTGAAACCCAGCAGTGTGACTCTGGTATCTGGTGCTCAGCCCCTCCACTGTTCATGAACAGAGGAGCCAGCCCAGTTCAAGTTTTGCATGGCCTGTATCCACTGTTGTCTGATAGATTTGACGTTCTTAAAAAAAATCTCACACAGCCATGTGCCCGGGTCATGGCAAAGCTAAGATGGTAAGTAGATAGCATGACACTCTAGAGCTGGCACCTAGCAAGCAGGTCATCAGTAAATGGACCAGCAGTAAAAAAAAAAAACACTAAGGTTTATTGGACCCACTTTATTTGCTGGGGTGTTGTGCTAAGTGCTTGATACACTGGCAGATTGTATACATTGCACGAATTCACATACTTGTTGCATTTAATTCTCCAAACACTCGTGGTGGTGTTCACCTGTCACAGATGGCCACTTACCACTAGCAGGCTCCCACCCCACAGGCAAGACTTGGCCCTGGATCTCTGGCTACGTAGCCACGTTCCCATACTGGCGACCGCTGTGCGTGCTGGCCTGGCCCAGGCGTGCCCCGTGAGTCACGAGCTCCCCGTCTGTCTCTCATGCACAGCGTGCGGGAGCGCTGCCTGGAGGAGCAGAAGCGGCGGCGGCAGCGGGCTACCCGGAAGATCAGCACCTTCATTGGGACCTTCCTCCTGTGCTTCGCACCCTATGTGATCACCAGGTGAGCCGGCCTGCCGGTGGCACAGGTGCTGGGGGAGGCAGGTGGGCACCTAGCAGAACACACCCAAGTCCCAGGACAGTGAGCAGGCACCGCTCTCTGGGCCCCGCCGTCCTCCTGATAGCGCGCTGGGGCGGGAGCGAGCTGGCTCTGCACTGGGTGGGGAGGACGCTTTTCCTCTTCAGGCTCAAATTCTTCTGGATTAGATGCAACACGGTTGTGTAAGGCTCTTTCACAGTCAACCAACCAACTAACCAACTCACTGCCATGGAGTCGGATCCGACTCATAGTGACCCCTCCTTGGGTTTCCGAGGCTGTATCACTACAGAAGTAGATGGCCCAACCTTCACAGTCAGCCTTCCGAATCAGATTGCTCTAAACCCTTGCCCTTCCTGCCCCCAGCCAGCCCCCCTAAGGCCCTAAAGAACAGAGAGGTGGAGAAAAACAGAGAAACACCTGGGGTGTAGGGGCACCGACTGCTCGCCAAGCGCTCAGACCACCTGCGTCCCCAGCCTGGACACTGATCCGCAGCAGGGGCATCTCTGTGCCACAGGCAGGTCCCCCGTCCAGCCACCGGGAGTCACGGGTATATGCACAGCCCTGGGGCCAGACCAGCCAAGGGTGCAGGACCCAGCCCCACGGCTATGGATCTTCCCAGGCAAGCAGCTTTGGCTATAGAATGTCCCAGAAAGTTTTAGCTGAAAAGAAAGAAGGAAAAGAACACACTGCCTCAGTTTTGAGGACTCGAGGGGAAGGAGGAACCCCACAGCTTTGCGTCCCAAGTGGCGTCACTGCTTTGGAAATTGGGACCAAGCAGGGAGCATTGATGTTCTGCGCGCAGGTGGATGTGGGCGCCTTTGTCAAGCCTGGGAGCTAGGACCTGGCAGGGCTTTCTGTGTGTGTGTGTCGGGGGTGGGGGAGAGAGCTACCCAGCTCGCCCTCCCAGCAGCCCCCCAGCATCTTCCCCCGGGACGACCTGAAGGACGCTGTCTCTCAGTGTCTGCTTGCATGCCCTCCTCCTCTCTGTCCACAATGAGGACCCCCCCACCAGTGTCGTATGCCAGCTGAAGCCTGGCTTCCTATAACTCCACCCACTACTCCCAATGCTGTGTTTTCAGGGAGCAGAACCTCCACACTCTGGGCGGCCACCCCTGTGGATTTGCACACTGGGCACCTGGCTCTCCACGGCCAGCACCCACCTTCTCAAGACAGTATAGCCCTGGCTCTTCCACTGTCTTCTGCGGGCATGCCAGCTCTTCAAGGGAAGGTCTAGTGGGCCTACATGTCTTTTTAAACAGAGGACCTAGAACTGCCTTCAGGTCTCTGGAAGGGTCTGACCGGGGCAGCTCTTTCTTCTAGAACCTTGAACAATTGATATTTGGAGCGGAAGAATTCTGTCGGGGAGGGGCAGGGGGCAGGCCATCGTGGGGGGTGGTAGGTCATCGTGGGGGGTCGGCAGGCTGTCATGGGGCAGTAGGCCGTCGTGGGGGGCGGTAGGCCGTCGTGGGGGTGCAGCAGGCTGTTCTGTGTACTGGAGGCTGATTAGCAGCACCTCTGGTCTCTTCCCACTGGATGCAGGAGAAATCCTCTCAGCAGTGACAATAAAAAATGTCACCAGACATTGCCACACATCCCCAGGGGACCCGAGTCACCACTTGCTGAGGACACTGGTGCAGATCAGCTACTTGCAGCTAGGAAGAGACAGCTGGCAGAAACCAGCACTTGTCCATGGGACCCAAAGCCTGTACCAGGTGACGACGAGGAGGGGCAGCATGCTAGCGGCGTGGGCTCGAGCCTGCTGGGGTCAGCTGCTGTGGAGTCGGCACCCGACTCGTGCCCACCTGTGAGGCATGGAATGAAGGCTGCCCAGGCCTGTGCCCTTCCTGTGACTGTCAGATCAGACCGGTGTGGTGCACAGGGTCTCACTGACTGATACTCACAAGTAAATTGCCAGGCCTTTCTCCCTAGTGCATCTTCATCCAGCAGCTTCCCTGACACCTGCTCATCACCATAGTAACGCACATGCCTCCACGGACAGACGAGTGCTGGCTGTGCACCAGGTGCACTGGCTGGGAATCAAACCTGCATCTCCTTCACGAAAGGCAAGATCTGTCCCACTGAGCCACCGATACCCTCCTGGGTTCAAATCTCAGCTCCACCTCTTCCTACCCATGTGACCTGTGCCAATAAGTTCACTCTCTGAGCCACAGCCCTCTTGAATGTAGGACAGAAGTGGTGACAGAGCTGCGTCTTAGGTGCCGTGAGGGGGGAGGACCGGGAGCCTGGCTCCCAGGCACTTCAGGGATGATGTCTGTGGCTAACGCCCACCTCCCTCTGACACTCTCAGCACCGATTCTAGGGCCTGGCTGGTACATGAACAGAAGGAAATCAAGTCCAACAATGGGAAGGTGCATGGGACAGGGAGGCCCCTACTCTACGTGCCTACAATAAAGGGCAATTTGGGCTAATGGGGTGAATTCAACTCCACAGAGGATAGGTAATATGGTTCCAGCTTCAGACTACTGGATTTTTCTCTGGCTCATTTCCCCAAAAAAATTCCTTTTATTTTTCTTCTGACTACATTTTCTCATTTCCCCAAAAAAATTCCTTTTATTTTTCTTCTGACTACAGCATGGTTCATTCTATTAAATCCAAAAACCAAACCCACTGCTGTGAAGTCGATTCTGACTCAGAAATCCTGTAGGGTAGAGAACTGCCCCAGAGGGTCCCAAGGCCGTCAATCTTTACAGAAGCAAACCCCAAACCAAACCCACTGCCGTGGAATCAGTTCTGACTCATAGCAACCCTGTAGGACAGAGGAGAACTGCCCCATGAGTCTTTTTACAGAAGCAAACTGTCACTCTTTCTCCCTTGGAGCCGCTGTTGGGTTTGAACCACCGACCTTTCAGTTAGCAACCAAGTGCATAACCACTTGGTCACCAGAGCTCCTTATAGTGCCCAGAAAACGTTTCAGTGAGTTGGGTGGAAGATTCACAGCTCGATGTGTTCCATTCCAAACGGATCTGATGCTTCTGAGTTTTGATAAACATTCACAAAACTGTTCATCCTTCAACGGGATGAGCAGCAATTTACCATGAAATTTCATTAAATACAAATGGATATTATAAAGCCCCTCCACGAATGCCTGACCCCACCCCCGCTGCGCTTTCTTGTAAGTAGAGAGGAGGCGCTCAAGAAATGCGTGCCAGTCCATAAAACAATGAAAGGTCCCTGGGGGTGCAAATGCTTTGAACTTGACTACTAACCTAGAAGTTGGCAGTTCAAACCCACCTAACAGTACCAGGGAAGGAAGTCCTGGCCGCCTGCTTCCGTAACGTCACAGCCGAGAAAACCCTATGGTGCAGGTCTCGTCTGTGACACACGGGGTTGCCGAGAGTCAGGGTCAAGCAACAACCACCAGCCAGTGAGGCAGCAAGAGCTCAGTCCTGTGGGATTCAGAACGTACGAACAGGCTCTGCCCTTGACTTAACTGAGGACTTGGTGCAGTGCCTTCACTGCTGTACCACCAGAGCTCCCTCCGGGTGTCAGGTGAAGCCCTGCTCTGGGCCTGCAGCCACACCATCCTCTGTACCTGCCTAGTCTCCCTGTTTTTCAAATGAGGAAAATGAAGCGCAGGGTCCGGCCTTGTCAGTTTCTCACAACCCAGTAAATGGCTCAGGAGGACTCAGACTGCGGCCCAGCCTGGACTACACCCTCCCGCTCACCCCCTCACCCCTGCACAGCCTCTCACACAGCCCCACTTGCTGCTTCCATTCCTCTAGGGGAACAAAGGTTCTGGCTGCCTTTGAGAGAGATGCGTGTATGTACCTCGACCCACTCGAAGCAGAGAGCTGCCGTTTCCAGGATGATTGCTACCAAGCTGTTTGCAAGTCACCGAAACCCCTCACTGAGCTGTCAGCAGAGACTCTGCGGTGATGGCATCTGTATCCAGGCGGCCCACCCTGCTCCTACCACTCCTCCGGTGCCTCACAGATGGGGACAGGAGCAAGACTGTGGTTGCTGGGGGCTGGACATCTGTGTGACTGCTGTAGGGCTGAAGAAGGCCTGGCCGGCTGGGACGGCAGCCTTCTCTTTGTGCCCACTCTCATCTACATCTGCTGATGACTTTCTCAGGGACACGTCATTCTTGGCTCCTGGGTTTAAGAGGAGCCGTGGAAGTCTTCAGATAGGTTCTCAAGCATCTCCTGCTGTGGGACATGGTGCTTGTCACCCCATCTGACATTGACCGAACACCTGTGACTCACTGCAACCCCTGTGTGTCAGATAGACCTGGGCGCCGTAGAGTTCTCCGTGGCTGACGTTTCTGAAGAACAGGATCAAGCCTGTCTTCTGAAGCAGCCTCAGGCTGACTCGAACCTCTGACCTTTCAGTTTGTTAGTGGCTGAGAACCATTTGCACGACTTAGGAACTTTTCATGGCCTGGGGGTATCTAATACAGATACCCTGCGAGGCAAGTATTCTTACCCTAGTTTTATAGACAAGGCTCAGAGAGGGGAGTGAGCTGCCCAAGTAGTGAGTGGCAAGCCAAGATGGAAAGCCAGCTTGGTGTCAATTGGCTGCCACTTGGTCTTTGGGTCACGCTCCGCCTCCAAAGATAGGGGACGTCAGGCCCTAGAAATTCAGATTGCTCCCCAGGGGGGGTTTCAATCTGGCTTCCGACACTCAAGCACCTTGTAGGCACCTTGAAGTGTGCCCAGGTCCAGTACCAGGCTCCTCCTCGTGAGCTGTCTCTCTATGGACTCACCCTCACTCTCCCGCCCGGCTGTCAGCCGGTCAGGTGTTTCTGTTGCTGATTGCGGCTGTAACGTGGCTGACGGCCACTGGCAGATCGTGTGGCCCGTTCCTCTCAGGGAGACAGTTTGAGCACCCACACCAGCTAAAGAGCCCCTCCCCTCATGCATGCTCGGCGTGTGCATGAGGGGGGAACATATTGGGAGACCTTCACTGTTAGCTCCCACCTGTCGCCAGGACCCCAGACTCAA